TAATACTAATCTACATCCGTCCATATTTCGTGGTGCAAGAGCTTGTGCTTGGGACAAAGAGGACAGGAGCATAGAACTGACGCATCCACTGTCTCACATGGATTACATCACATGAAGTTTCTTGTAATGAACAGAAATCCTTGTAAAGAGGGTATTATAATGTTGGATTTTATTTGTGAATGTCTGTCCGTATAATCATATATTTGTGGAGTATTATTGTATCATATTTTATCATTTGTTTAAGGTATCCGTTTCTTTAATCGACTTTATATCAAGTCAGCCACCAAAATGAAATATATCACAGAGAATAATTTTTTTTTGGTCCCCAACGTTATTTAAAAAAAGAATATTACTCGGATTTTAACAACCCCAATCAACGTGACATTAGATTTTAAAAAAAGAAATAGAGGAAAAACAAGAAAAAGGAAATAAAAAGGTTAAGCTTTCCAAGTTGACTTAGGCCCAAGAAAAGTTTTGAGGCACTACGAAGGGAATCCTATCCTCCTCCACCTTCATAAAAATACTAAAGAACTTTTGATTCCTTTTTTTTTTATAAACTTAGATGTGATCAATAATAAAATCATCATCCGAAGAATTCAATTCTAACCACAATACATAGACATTTTTGCTAAAATTGAAAACTAATACAACAATTTACCACGATGTTAAAATATACATAATTCACAAGAAGAATAGTTTTTATCTCAACAATTTCATAGCAAGTCAATTTATTTTTTGAATAATAATTTAGAAGATCGGTTTCTAAAATCGGTTCAATTTGTTTTTTTATATTCTGCAGTGTAACTCAATAGGTGAATTTATTCGCATATGATATATAATCTAAGTTGTGGCATATGTTCTCTTTTGCCCTGTAAATGAGTGGTGCCTCAAAAAAAGAGGCCATTGTCTTTGGTTGCATCTCGGTGTTTTTTTGTGGGATAGAGGAATAAAGACTTATCCTTCATGCCAAAAAGATTGTGGATTTTATTTATTTATTTATTTATTTATTTATTTATTTTATTCTCTCCTTTCAAAAGTTTGCCTTTTAGATATTTCATGCAAGACTTTTATTATAAAAAAAATGATTTTTTGTAAGGAAAATAAAAGTTAGTGGAAACAGAACAGACAAAGCCCACTCATCAACGCTCTTC